TCCAGAACTTCTGCTTCAATACTTTGCTCCAATTGGAAGAAAAAGTAGGTATTTAAAACTTCCAAAGATAATTAATTTTTCAATACCAAAATGTCTTAATTCAATTTAGTTTTAAGAAATCTTAAGTTAAAGAGACAGGGCACCCAGGATTTTTGAGCCTTTGAGTTCTTAGTAAGAGCTAAAAGACAAACTCACCTGGGAAGCCCAGAGCTACAGATGAGTAACTCACTTTCCCAAAGGAAAGTTCCTTCAAAGAATAAGAAGAGCAATCTACAATCCGACAAGTGGCTTACAAGCATCAGGGATGTGATCACCTGGCCTCCAACTGAAAAGAAACTGATTAAAAATTAGCAAGGTTATTCTAGCCTGACTATGGCTGCCCTGGCTGAGACAATGTGTTTCACTTGCACGTGTTTCCACTGGAGGACCCCACTGCCTTTGGTTATGGTTAAGGCTGACCACAGATCATGAAGTGAAGCAGCTTTATGTTACCTCAGCAGAGACACCAGAAGGTAAAATTGACTTTCCCAGGGTGTTAGTGTCAGGGTATGAATGGCTATGGTGATTAAATATTTGTAAAGAGCTCATTTTCTATTTTATATACATTTTATATTTTACAAACCTCAGGAGAAGTGCCCATTTGCAAGGCTGTATCAGGAATTGCAGGTAACACAAGAGCTCTGTCTGAACCACACCTGCACATGAACTGTCTGCTGTCCAATCTGAACTGAAACCAATAGCAAAATTTTTCCTTTAAATGTGGCAAAGATTTTATCCTAACCATTATTTTGGGTATGAACAGTAGGAGTAGAATAAAGATGATTTTTCCAGGCTTTTCAACAAAAGAAATAACTGCAATGAAGTTGATAGCCTCTAGGTGTACATTTGCTTGCACCTTTAGAAACAGTTCTTCTACATGAGAGTATGCTTATTGTTAGCCCTGACATTTTCATTCATAGTTTTCTTAAGGGGATGCTACAATCCCAAATCTAGCCCTGTGTCTGCAGGGCACATCTCTTGTTAGAATGACACTTCTCCTATACGTGCATTTGACCGGTTTCCAAGTTTTCTTACAACTTATTTTATTCTTGAGCACACAAGGTAATAAAAGTATACGAGCCCACAACGGTGACATGTTGGTTTTATGTCCTTGTTAAGTCTAAAATACAGTTTTAGTACAGCCTTACCAGAGGTTGTTTGGGTTGTTTGTAGTTTCAGCTGTAGCTACTAGTTGTATGAGCCAGGACTAGTTTTAATTTTGCAAAATATTTCGTTGCAAGTGCAGGCCTAAATCATGCTGGATCTTGGACTTAGATTCCAGCTTGCAAGCAGTGAAAAGCTCAGACTTGCAGTGATATAATACAGTGTGTTTTAGGAAGGTCTGAGACATAAGAATGAAAATTGCAATGGGGTACCTTATTGTCTGCAAAATAAAATAAAGGGTTAAAACAGAAATAAAATAATAGATAGATAGATAGATAGATAGATAGATAGATAGATAGATAGATAGATAGATAAAAAGTAAGGACAGTGACAGCTGGGCCCATCAGGGCTACCATACTAGGTCTTTTTCAGGAAGAAGAGAGATTTCCTCAGCTGGCACTCAAAAATGTGTAGTGGGATTAGTCACATCAGGACTGCCATGGCCTCATCCAGTGCATCCTTTTTGGGAGTTAGGTGGTGCCCGTGTGGATGGAGCTCCAGCCTGAGTGGGGCACTGAAAGCTGCTGTGAAACTGCAGCAGCCTTTTGGAGTCTGGACTTTCTACTGCCCTGTGAACCTGGGGAGGAGGAAGCAGAGAACTAGCACTGCTGCCTCTAGCAACCTGCCTGCAGAGAAGCGAGATTAGCAACACCCTTCAGGCCTTGGGGAAAGGGTCAGTGAATTTCAAAGGGGCCACCACTGCAGCATCAAAGAGCTACAGGAGGTGGAAGGACTATGAAGTAAGGGAAGGGTGAAATCTGCTGTGAAAAATGGACAATTCTGCTAGTGGTGAGGTAGAAAATATTGCTAATATAAGCCTCTCTATCCATGAGGGGAATGTACCCTGCCAGGTGCCAGTCAGATGTATCTCTAAGGAACCTGCTTGAAGCATTCCCAAATGCACAAAGGATGGACTTCTGTGCTAAATGCAATTACAGAATGTGTGGATAAGTGAACAAAACACTAAAATTTGAGCTTAGCTGCTTGTGTCTGCTCTGTGCTCTCTAACTGAAGCAGGACCAGAAGTCCAGGAAAAAGGGTAAACTAAAAACTTCTGTTCCGCAGCTGTCAGGAGATACTGCTCATGACCGGCACTTTCCAGCCTGAGTCCCCAGTCTTTTGAGGCAAATTCCTTACACTGGAACTTGTACCATTTCCAGTTTGGACCTGGATTCTTAACATGGTTTTAGTTGCTCTCAGAGCATTCAGGAAACTACCCCAAATGTTAGCAAATACACATTTGCTTAAATGGAAGGCGATTTCATTATATTCTTCTGCATTATATATGCACCCCTGCAAATATACACACCTCTGATGTTTGGTAGTTAGGCAGATAGTGCTCTTATGTGTGCCCTCTGAAAATTTGAGAGCTTGCCCTAACGTGTTCATATGACTGGGTTGCGCCTTTATGCTTTTTTTCCCCAGGACAACCTTGCTATTCTGGCTGTCAGAGTGTCCTGGTGAGTCGGTGCACCATGGCCAGGGGTCTGGAGTGAGAAACCAGGAGGAATCACCTCCGCTTGCTCAGCTGTGGAGACAGCCTGATTCAAGCCTGAGTGGTGTGAGGAGGAGGATGTGCAGCTGCTCCCAGGGCAGCAAGACATGCTGCAGGGAGGGTTAACAAGGCAGTCCCTGAGCTGGCAGTGAGATCAGCTGCTGTTCAACGCAGCTAGACAGAATTAACACCCAGAGGAGCCCTGCAACAGGTAGGTAGCGCTGGGAGCTGGCTGCACTTAGTGCCCGCTGTGGGAGGGCTCTGCTAGCACAAATGTGTGAGTGAGCTGTGCTGTGCCTGAAGTTTTCCAACACCACTCTGCAGAATATGAATTATTCAAAGAGAGAAAGAAATTGTAACCTGTTCTGCAACAAAAGAGACTCTAGCCAAGAAAAACTTACTCGGCTTCCATGTTGTCTGCTCTCCTCTCTCCTTCCTCATCTTTATACTAGCAGTAAAGGAGAGTGCAGGCTGCTTGTCTGCCTCACCTAACAATAAGGAAATGCTTTTTTCCAACATTCCCTTCCTTGTAGTGGAGCTGGGACAATCCAGATATTTGGTGTATGTATTGTGGAGACATCTCAAACCCAGAGGCTGGTGGCCCATGGAAGGAGCCAGGGGAGGAACGAAGGGGTGGATAATCCTTGCCCTGCTTTGGCCCAGATTTACATCCCACTCAATCCTACTCATTCAATTCAAACACCCACATGAGGAGTCTGTAAGTGGCCAAAGGCAGATGAAACAGCTCTGCTCTGGTTTGTTTCTCTGGAGCAAACACTTTCTGAATTATTTATCTTTTTTCCCCTGTCTCTCTGCAGAGTCTGGGTAGACCTGGCTCTGCAGCTAGGAGGAAAAGAGTAGCCCCTAAGCTGGAAGGATAACAAGTGCAGGGCAGGGGGGAGGGACTAGGGCCACAGCAGCTTGCTTGGGGGCACTGGGCAGCCAGTGGCAGAGCAGGAGATGGGCTCATGGGTAGGCAGCTATCTGCCTGTCCCACCTGCCCTCCTCAGGGCTCTTCACAGCCAGAGGCTTCCCAGGGAAAAACATTTCTTCTTGTGCTGCTGGCCTGAAAAAGCACTGACAGGCTCTTAATTTAACTTGCCTTGGGAGAGCAAGGGGAACACAGAGCTTACAATTTTTCTTTCAACCTTGAAGGTTTCTGCCTTCATCTCACCCAGGGAACAGGAAAGGGCAGACAGGAACCCAAAACCAACATGAAATGGGGCCTGTTTTTTCTTTCTTCTTGTCCACTGCCCAAACTTAATAATTGGGGCCTTGCTGAAAGCAGAATTTCTTAATTTGCTTCCAGCCAAACTGCAGGCTTAATGACTTTACTGTTAGGCTGTATTTCCACAAGTGTTTTCATTAAGTACTTTCTGCCATACTAGGAAAAGTGTGTTGTCATCATGAGGTCACATTGAGTTGGATGGGCTCACCACTTTCAGCCACTTTGTGTTTCAAAAATGCAGTGCATTTAATTTACAGCTGGTCTTTCATTGCTTATTCAAACAGCATTGCACCAAGGCACCTCTGTATCTGTTTGCCTAAAGGCCTGGGAACATAAATAATAAATGACCGGTCTGGAGAAGGTGGCTTTGGGTTCAAACCAGCAGGTGCATTGGGGTGCTGGGGGCTCATCTGGCTGGGGGGTACATAGTGAATGGGAACTAAAGCTTGCAATAATTCCCCCATGCAGTAATGGCTCATAAATGTTTAATAAACTTCTTGCCTTTGCCATAGATGAGGTCTTATTAATGAACTGGAGTAGCTTGAGGACAGGTATTGTGTCTGTTACTATAGCACCACCTTGCACAGGATCTGGCTGTGAAGAGGCAGGGGAGGGAGAGCGAGGGGGGGAGAAAAGGAGGGAGGCACCAAGAATGAGCCCCAGCCAGCCAGCCTGAGGTTCTTCCCTGGTGCAGGCAGCAGCAGCCTCCTGCCCGGGGACACCAGCCCTCAGCAGCACCTCCAGCTCACCAGCTGCAGCCTCCAGACCAGCTGCCCCCGTCCAGGTACCCAACCCTGCGCAGATGCACCGCAGAGCTGCTGCAACTGCACTGCCGAGTGCCTGAGTGCGTCCCAGGGGGAGTTCAGTCCAGAGCTCTTTTCTGACTTTGGAAGATTTGTCCTGATTATTTATTTAATTTATTTAATTTTTTCAATGATCCTTTCTTGAGCAACTGGTTGTTACTGCAGAGGTCACTGAAGGGACCAGCAGAGGCTCCGGAGTCTGGCATTGGGAAATATGACAGCAGAAGTGAATGCTTGCTAACATAAGGGATTTCTGAAGAAGAAAGACAGAATGCCTTTCAAAGGGTTCCATTCCCTGAAGGAAAGATTTTTTAACCCAGGAAAGGAAGAGGTGAAGAACACCATTAGTGACTCGCTGGGGAATCTCAGAAGGTAAAACCCAACATAAAATTCCCAATCAGGTCCATTCATTCCATTTATTTAAAGAGAAAGGAAGTACAGGGAAATGTACGCACATAGGACAGAATTTAGAGTTGCAAAAGTAATATTTGAGTTCAGATAATGAGAGACGTTGCTGCAAGACAGAATATGTAAAAGTAGCACTGTTGCAAGAATGTATGACTATTGATAACAGAATATTTATAGTAAACAAAAAGGCGAAAATAAGTAAGAAAATAATGTTCTAACATCACAAAGAATATGAAAATGTGTTTTAATTAAAAAACTTTAAAATAGTTAAATATGAATTAATTCTATGGTTTAGCTTGCATGAGAAAAACTGATGGTTTGATGGGAATTAACAATCCCAAATTATGCCACTCTTTAAATTAGATTTAATGTTCCTAAATTATAGAGACTTTTTGAAAATCTTATTCTGAATCAGTTAGGGAACATGTATTAAGTAGAGATATGCATCTGTGTGTTTATTGAGACTAACAAATTAGAAAAAGGAGAAACAGCTGTTTGCTAGCAAAGAAAAAGAAGATTTAAGAATTTTATCTTAATCTGACAGTTTGTGAAGCAACAAATACAAAGGTTTTGTATTTTTCGATAACTAAAAGTACAATGTAACAAATGACCAGTTTCATAAAGAGAAAGAGACTTCACATTTAAATGGAAGATTTTTTTCTATTAGTAATGGCCACTGACATTTATTTGTGTAATCAATAAATGAGACCCATAGGGTTCAGTGACATTTCTTTCATGCTTAGTGTTAAGTGTTTTAAATCTTTGTATGGACCAGATGAACATTTTAACTGAATATATTTTTAGTGATTGAATTATATTTGCTTTCATAGCCATCCCCTTACTTTCTTTTGGGAATGCTATTTTGAATTGAGATACAGTTCTTGTCACACCTGAACGTGTCTTTGATCACAAGAAGATGTATAACAGTTTACATGTATCGTACTACAGCATGTATGTGTGAGAAAATAAGCATATACACTTTTAAAGAAGTTACTAATATGCCTTGGTAGACTGTGAGTTACACTATTTCTACACCATCAGGAGAGAGTATCTGGGTTCCGCACAGCTCAACTTAACTTTTCTTCATGTCAGATGCAGTCTGACATTTTGTTGTTTTTATGTTAATGACACTCTACAGTAATTCCAGGGGTTCCATTTTTCTTTTTCTGATCTAAAACATTATGTCAGGTTTGTATTTAGTGAGCACTGGGGTTGCTATGTGGAAATGGCATGCAAACTTTAAATTATCCAGATTACTCTCCTCCTGTAGCCATGTATCTGCTGGTTCCTACACAGTTTATAGTACTGGCATCCAACTTACACAACATTGCTACTGAATCAAACCAAACCAAATCTGAGTTGAGGTACAAGAGAGTTAGCTGGACTCAATCATTCTCTGTTTAAAAATATATATATACCTGGTGTCTTTCTCAGATGTACTGGCCAGTGTAGGAAATACAAACAGTATTTCTTTTTAATTATGTCACAATCAGATCTAAGTAAGAATTGCTGTGAGTTGAGTGGTCTTCTAGGAAGTAAGTCATGTTAAATGTTTCTATAAGAAAGGAAACATGCACATATTCAACTTGAACTTAATTCCCTACAGCTTAGCCTACAAAGGAGAGCACACACTTCTGGTTTTACATGATGGTACACAGGCATATGTACCAGCTGCATCCTCAACCTTACTCTTCATCCACTCCAATTTGCTTGAATATGGTGTAAATCTGCAAAGAATTTGGTTTCTTTTGTAGTACTTGAGAGATGATTAATTTTATTAATGCCTGTTCTTGATTAGGTCTCTGAGTGTGATTTCACTGGGTGCCATGTGTTGATGTGGGATCAAAACTGGCAAAGTGGGTAGAAAAATACTTTCTAGCTTTGACAAATACGACAAGTGTCTGCCTTCCTACCACTGTTCCTCTGTCTTGCAAACAACAGAGACCAGGGACAGACAAGACCAGCTGCCAGGTACCAGTTGCCCCATAGTAGTTGTCCCCAGATAAGTTCAAATGCTAAAACACAAGCAGCATAAGGTGACTTACAGCCTCCTCACAGGTGTGTAGAAACCTCAAATTATATTGTGCGTGCGGCAAAACAAGAGACTGCCCACTGAAGGCTACTTTTGTGTAGCTGGAAACTGGAAGGGATGCAAGGGGGATTGAACTGGAGAGACCCCCAAAGGGGTCCTTCTTTTAGGCTGCTGCCAGTGGTTTCATTTGTGAGGTCTTAGATGATGTTTTAGAAGATGGATCAGATGTTTTGTACTTTTTTTTTAATGCAAAATTTGGTTTGTTCTTGATTAGTTGAATACAGTGGAGCAATAATAATAATAATAATAATAAAAGAATTCAAGGCTTGGGTGAATGGATATCAGAGCTGGAGCTCTGCAGGTCTTACAGATTTGCCAGAAAAGTTAACTTTTCCTGCATGAGGCATGCACAAACACTTTGAAGCTTCTGTGAACTTATTGTATAGTAAATTAATTATTGTAGAAAAATTAATGAACTCATGTAGCATCTCAGGCTCTGCCTGCTCTGAGAATTTCAGGAGTCTTGGAACAGCTAATGGCAGTTGTGGGCTTACTGTTGAAGTGAGAAGTGATTAAGTGGGTTTACAACTCAATAATGCCACTGTTAATGTGGCAGTCATATGAGCTGTGTCACACAGCTGGTCTCTGTAGTCTGAGCCCTACCAGGAACAGTTCTGGCTACTGCAGATGTCCCTTCGTGAGTTAGACAGCCTGAACTGCTAAAAACTGCAGCTTGAAGCTGGGCAATATACCCTTGCCTTGACCAGAGCTCCTCCACCTGTGCTGGATCATATCCTAAGTCCTCTTGAGTTTTTCCTTTGCGCACAAGTACAGACAATTTAGTGCACTGCAGCCCAAACAGCACTGTGAGCACAATGTGGGGTGTCCACACTCAGCGGGTTTGTGAATCGTGCGAGAGCCCTTGTACAAAGGTGTTAGTGTAGCACAAAGGGTGCGATACAATGTGCTGCAGCACCCACAGGGCATCTCTTCAATGCAGGGAAGCTGGGCTGAAGAGAGACCGCAAGGGTGCCCTGCAGCCTGGCAGTGCAGCAGTGGTGAGATGCAGTCCCATGGTGCATATGGTTGAAACATGCCATGAGTTCCATGCAAATACCATGCAGAAACCAGATGGAGAGGTTCCTTGCACTGGGTGACTTAAGTGGGATCGCCTGTATATATTTGGATTTTGTAGCAATGCATCAGTTGCAGAGTTCAGTGTGGCAAATTCTCATCATATCCCCCAAGAGTAAATGAGGTTTCAGAAGATTGTATCTGCTTTTGGATAAATAATATTTTGTTAGAGTCACTATGTAGGTTTTTTGAAGTTATGCCAGGATCATCAATAATTGTACCATGTGATGGCTGGTGCTGGATTTGTAGATGTGAGATTTGAACATTGTGTATGATTGTGCTGTAGCTGCCTGTGAAAAGCTGTAGTCTCTGCTAGAAGTCAAGTATTAACATTTGCCCGTTATTGCAGAATCTATGTGTTTTTAATCAAACAAAATGGTATTATGTTAGTCCACCTACTTTATAATTTGAAGAAATAACTAATTCCTATGATAAAATCCTATAAATATAGACTGGTATATGCGCATATGTTCTTGAGATTTTATTTTCTACTGATAGGAATTTTTGAAATTTTTTTTCATTTTTCCAAAATTCTGTGTATGTCAGAGTGAAGTCATTCAATAAGGAAGAGAAATTTTGCATATCGTTATTATGACATTTGGTCACAGAACATGGATGCAGATACCTTCAAATAGTTTATCTTTTCTTCCTTGCCAAGTGTTATGTGTTTGTTGAAGAAAGGAAATAGACTGATGTATGGAGTAAGCATTTCCCATGCAGCAAAATTATCTCCTAGGTTAGTCAGATAACTAGAGGAGAGCCCTGGCTCTGAAGCAGTTTTCTTCTGAATCATTGGTGTATAACAAGTGAAAACTTTCAGCAGTGCCACCAAAATATATGAATCAATTGGAAGATACATTTATCATCTTTTAATGGAGTTGCCATACCTTCATTATATACCTGTTCAATAAAATAAAGCCAAAAAGCTACGTCTAACACTGGCTTTGTGAACGTCTGCACTCCTAATGGTCAATTCCAGCTCAGTTTTTGGACTGCTATTGCAAAATAGTCTTCTCAAAGACAAATCTGCTACAGAATGGTCAACATTAAGTTTTGGGAGTGTGAAAAAAACTGCGTGAATTTGGGGTCATGGGTCAGCCCTCAACCTGCTCTTATTAATGTGTAGTTGAATACAATAACGAAACAATTTCTCCACAGAGGCAATGCTGACCCACATTGCTACTCCTGGGTCACCACATTTGACAGTGAATTTGGAGCAAAAGGAAGTTTTCATGCCTATGTGAATTGACAGCCAGCTGAAAATGTCCAGATCAGAACAGATGTTTTGGCTTTGCTTGATGTGTCTAATCTTTGCCCAAAACAATGCACCAATTAAAGTCCAGTGTCTCTCTTATAAACAGAGAGCCTGGCAAAGGTATAAAAATTTGAGGAATTGTGCTTTGATTTAATTCAATCAGTATCTTTGATTATGTTAGAGGAAGACAATTAAATTACTTCTTTTTGTTTGTTAATAACCCTTTTGAGATTACAACAGTTCTAAAAATAATTATTCAGTTGTCTTTTCACTTCCTGAGGTGTTTTTTCTTTTTGGTACTTTATTCAGTTTATACTTACCTATATTAGCCCACAGACCATGGAATTTATGGTGTCTTCTTTTTAAAGTGACTGACTGCATTACTCTCAGTACTCTAATTTCACTAACAAATGCTGTTTCCCTGCCAGTGAATCATAAGATCTCAATCACCTTCAATAACACCACAGTAATATCACATTTCCTGCCTTACCTGGCTTTAAAGCAAAGTCTTCCCTCCATCCTGACAATGAGCTAATGATCTAACTTTGCAGTTGCACTGCTTTGAGCAAGGGGTTAAATTAAATTAAATTAAATTTGGGCCACTTTTCCCTTCTGGCCCAAACCACTCTGATCCTAGTGTTTCTTGGAAGTGTGAGCTGCTGGGCTGGACCATGGTTTTTTTCTTGTTCTGAAGAATAAGGCTGAAGTATCATTTTGATGATAGAATATAAAAAGAACAACATAGTAAGTGATGTACCAGTTAGCCTGGAGCTGTAAAGCCTAGAAATGCTGAGAATTTAAAGTGAATTTTCATATTGGAAAGTGAAATCTCATATGGCACCTGAAAGCCATACTTACCACCTGCATGTGCAAAACCTTTAGTGTAGAGTACTCTCTGTTGGATTATGGCTAATACATGACATTTGCAGAGAACTGGAGGAAGCTCTCATTAAACCAACCCTATGCTCTGAAGAAAGCCAACCAGCTACTGTGAAGGTTGGCTGGGTGTAGCACATCCATATATGCTCTGGCAATGTTTCTTTATAGCCGAGGTTCATATGGAAAACTGAAGTACATTAGATTTCAAACAGATTCAGGCACATGTGTGAAAGATGGAAATTAGTTACTCCTTATCAGAAAATAGGGAATAATTTGATCATCATATAGGGCAATCTGGGCTTGCTTTAGATTAAGTAATTGTTCGTATTTTCACAGTACTGAGAGTAGCTTCACAGCAGGCACAAAAGGGGCTGGATGCTGGCTCACTGTTCAGAGCAATGCCACAACTGAAAGGCTTCAGAATGTAACTGCTGATTGAGGCCTCCCTTTAGGAAACACTTAACCTTAAGCTTGTGGGTAGTGGGCTAGTCATGTATTTACAGGTAACCATGTGCTGAAGTGTTTCAGCGTGTCAGAAGACCCATTTTCTACATTTAAAACAAATGCAGGAGAGGTTAATGTTACAAAAGGAAGTATTTAACTCCAGTCCAGAGGTGCATGTTCTGTTATTTCTGATCTTGTCTATTCTACCTGAGACGTTCCCTGGTCCTACAGCACGGGATATGAATATTGCCAATCAGACCGGGAAACCAAACTAATTTTGAATTGCACTATCATGCAATTCCAGCTAACACAAAAGTCCTGTTTTGAATCTTTCAGCTGGGCTGGTTGTAAGAAAATGGAAGGCTGGGTATGCAAAACTGGAGGAGTTGTCCTCCTGTGTTAGTAGCTGGTGGGTAATCTCTCACAGGATGAAACGGCTGGGTCCCATTTGCTGCTATCCTGAGTAATCTGCATCCCTGGATTCTTCCTTCCCTGTTCCTCCCAATGGCACTGCAGTTAAAACACCAAATTTGATCCCAGGCAAGGCCCTCACAGTCTCTGCTGCTGAGCAGTGGTGGATCAACAGCCTAGAAAGTCCCTCTCTTCCTTCAGGTCTCATTTAATATTAAGTATTTCACACAAAGGGCAACACATTCAACAACAGGAGTTGTGGGGATTCACTTTGCAATGACCTAAGTCTTTGTGGTGAGAGGATGTTTCATAGAGGAGAGGACATGTGGTTTCAAATCCCTTCAGGCAGAAGAAATCTGGGCCTGGCTCTTTTAAACACCAAATAGGTGCTTTTGACACCAAAGCCACTTCTCTTCAGTATAACTCTGTTTTTTGTTTCAAGGATGAAAATAAATACACAGAGAGTTTTGGGCTAAGCAAAACCATGCTTTGTGCTGCATTAGCCCTTTTCTTGAAACCTACTGCCAGTTCTGCTTAGTAAATCTAATTAGAAATTTTCCTAACAATCAGCCGAATGTGTCACAACAAAGCTCAATGGAGCTCTTATAAATATGCTCATGAATAGCCTGTGAATATTTTTTCCAGCTAGCTGCCTGTCTAGGTGGCTTGGATTTGCAAACTTCAGAGGTCATTCATGACAAGGCACAGGCTCTCCTAACCTTCTACAACCTGCCCAGCACTAACCCTTCACCCCACCAGGAGACAAAGCGCCTTGTGAGGAGGTGATTTAGCAGCAGACCAGAGCACTGAACTGCCCACCTACCAATTTCGGTAAAATTTACTGAGGCAGTAAAGCTTTTTTTTTTTTTTGGTTTTGTCTTTCTTCACCTGTTTAGGAAAATCGATGGCACCAACGTGGAGGAGGACCACATTGAGCTGACAGAAGAGGGGCGGCCGGTGCTGGCGAGCACCCGCCAGCCAGCAGCCTGCGACTGCCACTGCTGCGGGCTGCCCAAACGCTACATCATTGCCATCATGAGCGGGCTGGGGTTCTGCATCTCCTTCGGAATTAGGTGCAACCTGGGTGTTGCCATCGTGGAAATGGTGAACAATAACACTGTTTATGTTAACGGGAAGCCAGAGCTGCAGGTGAGAAACCGCCTTCCTTTCACTGTTCTGAGCAGACCTTGTTGCAAAATCGTCAAAGTGACACATATCAAAGCACTGTATCCATGTATAGGTCAAAAACGGAGACAGGGAGACATGGGAGTCTGGATTCACACAGACCCATAGGTGTCTTATTCCTATTTGGGTCTCTAAATCCCATTACAAATCTGTAAGATGTGATGATTTGCAATGTCATACAAGAGGTAAGGTTCAGAAATGAGAACTTAATTGGCTGGCAGGTCTATCAGTTCCCTGATCTTTCAGTTGTAGACAGATTTTGAGGCAGTGGCAGAAGCTTTTACTCTTTACTGTCTCTCGGGGAAGCACGCTCTGATTCTGCTACAGAAAGAATGATTAATTGTTGTATGGTGCTCTGCACTTACTCTTTTCAGATCAGTAGCTGACTTTCAAGACTTTAAAGTTGTCACCGGTAACTTGGTGACAGGTTATTACAGATTGTTGACAGTGCGGCCTTCCGTCCAGAAGTATGTGGAGCTAGGGGCCAAACTCTTTTCAAATTTGGAGTAGATGGCATGTGGTTCACAGCAGGTGTCTACAAACCTTTAACAAAGCACCCAAAGAACCGTGGGTTCAATGCATACCTTAGTTTTCCCAGTCCTGCCTTGGTACATACCTTCTGTCATATATACCTTCTGTCGTGTTTATAGAGATAAATGAAAAGCTGTGCAATTATTAAACAGCTTTTTTTCCCAAATATTTTAACTTTTAGTAAAGAAAATAGCAGAAAATGTCTACAGCAAAATTCCAAAGTTAAAAATATGATACTGATCTGCAAAGACCAGACCCGATGTTTATGATTCTAGGGCTGCAGATTAAACATATCTTCTCTTGCCACATAATGTCATGTTCAGTCCTTCAGTGTTTTTCTCTCCCCTTTCTAGCTATCAAGCAGAGTGTTTCTAAACAGAGTCAATAAACCTCAGAAAGATTTACTAAAGTGAATGGACAGTTTCTTTGTTCTTCCTAATCTTCAATCTCCTACCGCCAGCTCCTGCTGCTTTGACTTGCTGCTGAATTTGTATTTATTCAGCCTAATTCCTGATCCCTGGGGTCCTGCTGTGACTTCTTGGTGCTATATGTCACCCTGGAGCAAGAGAAAAGATGTGCCTGCAAAAGTTGTTAAGCTCAGAATATGTAGTTTGAGAAAATGTGGACAAACCCATCTCATGAATGTCAAATTATTCTGTTTGGGTATGAGCACGTCCTAATACAGGAACTTCTTCCATGTCTCATAGTATTTCTGTCTTCAGTATTTAACATTATCTAGAAACTAAGATGAAATCTCTAGTAGAAAATTAGGTGTTTAAAACAGCAATGTAACTCAGCACAGGAAAGTAGATCTCTTGCAGAAGGTATACCTGACTAATTAATGCCATCTTTCTCCCTGCAGGTCAAATGAGCTGTTTTGTACTTTCGTTGTTTAGAAACAAAGAAATCAACCTACTAAGGAAAGCCTATTCTTTTTACACACATAAATTAATATAGAAAACAGAAATGTTAAAGTTTATCACTGTAGTTTTCACTTTTCTGTAGCGTTTAAATGACATTTTAAATTCAGAATCTAAAAGGCATCTGTGCTGCATTCTCATATGATGCTTGGTCACCTTTCCTTACTGTGTGATTAGCATAAAAATGACCGTTAAGAACAAGTTGCAGTTTCTCTTTGCTCCAAAAGGGCTCTTTAGAACTGAGGGTTCAAGGAGGAAAAGTTGACACTGACCTTATTTTAGTTTGATTTTACTGAGCCAGGCCCTGTCTGACCTCTCAGAACGGAGGGCAGGAGGGGCACCTTGGGTCTATCATCCTTTTCTTCATTTCCTCTGTTTTTCACCTGGGGCTTTGGCTATCCCTATTGTGAACAAGGTTTATCAAACAGTCTTATCAGAGAACAAGAATGTCCTTGTTCAGAAAGAGCCTTAAGTGCCTGGTATCCAGGGATGAGATGTATGGTGAAAACATTTCTCTTGGCAGCAGGCATTTTTGGCTACGAATGATCGATTACCAGCCTCTGGGTGGCCTTCCAAATCCAAATCCAGACCTACACCTGGTATCACTTTTAATAAAAGAGAGAGTATTCAGCTATCTAGTGTTACCTAGTTTTATTTCCAGACTGCTTTGTCTACAGGTGTTACACCCCCTGACTTGTCCTCCCCTTCTCTGCTCCCACACCACTCAATGCAGATGGTGGACAGTCAGGGTTTGGCCCTGACAAGGAGAACCATGGATAATACATGGATAGTAGCAGCCTGACCAGGAAGCTGATCAACCCAAAGGACCTGAGCTACCTTGATAATAATGGGAAAATGGACGTGATCATTAAAAGGCATTAGGTCCTTGTTTTAACACCGAGCTTGTTTGAGGACTAAGCAGCCAGAGGTGGAGCAATAGCACATGGCAAAGGTGAAGGGCCAGGGTTAGCTCCCTTCTCACTGAAATATTTCCCCTCTCCTTTCCACCTAACTGAAAGCCCAGAACAAAAGCAATAATCTCACATGTGAATTTGACATTGTTTTGCCCTGACTGGTGGGATTCCAGCTCAGCAACGCTGGCATAAAGAGACTACCTTGATTTGGAGAATGAGTGACTCATGACTTCCAAATAATGGTTATTGTGCAACAAGTATACTTAATCTTACAAGATTTTTTTCTGTTTCCTTTACAGAAAGCACAGTTCAACTGGGATCCAGAGACGGTGGGGCTCATTCATGGCTCTTTTTTCTGGGGTTACATTGTGACACAAATCCCAGGAGGGTTCATCTCAAATAAATTGGCTGCTAACAGGTAAGAAAACGAAAATCAAAGGAATAAAGCTTTACAGCCTGATGATTGTTCTACACGGTTTAAATGATGATTACAAATATACTGAATTGATGTGTATCAGGAACACACATCTGAAACTGAACTTGTTGTATTTATGTCTATAACCAAAAATTGGCTACATTTCCATTAGGGATCTGTTGCTGATTCTCCAAGTTTAGCTTGTTCATCTCAAATATTTGTGCATTTCTTGTTCTCCAAACAATAAGGTTTTCTGGAGAGTGTTAGGAAAATCACACTTAATACTTCAAACAATGATTGTAGCATATGTCTTTCAGAAGTTGTCATAGTGCTTTTTAGTTCAACTTAACAAAAAAAAAAAAAAAATTGCTCTTCTCCTTTTAAAAATTCCCTTTGGACTGAAGCTGGAAATGTAGGCATTACAGAACTATTAATGCTCTGATGACCCAAATCCATCCTCGTGCACATAGATAGCCCCACCATGGCTGGTTACAGTACTGCTGTCTGTAATTAGGATTGCCTAGAAGTTCTAATAGAACTTCATTATTTCTGTTTGGTGAACTCTGAGCACCTATATAGATTTCTTCTATGCTTACTGTGTTGTAGGCTGATCCCATAGAATTGCCCAGAAGCTCAGTCCAAACTGCCCTCTGTCCATAACCAAAAGTTACTCAAAGTTCAGTCTTCACTGCTTCTTCAGCACTAGCAGCATCCTCATTTTTTCGTTCCTCTACCACACAAAAGTACCTAAGCAAAGTATTTTTCCGTCTACTGAATAAGACAAGCAAATTAGCTAAGCTTAGTAATTTCTCCAAGCTTTTCTAGTCTTGCCACCATCTTTTGCAGCAAGAGGTCCACAAAACACAGATGTGCACACTGGTGGCTGTATAATTCAGTGTAGTATTAGTTTGGCTTTTTTTTCCCTTAATTTTCTTGCAAACAGTAAAATCAACCATGTTCATACTGTAAATCAATGTATTCTTTTAGCTGCCTACCTCCTTAGGTATGTGTTGTGCATTTGCACAGAAAGTTGTATTTCTGTCCCCACGAGACTTTCAGACTCAATCTGATGCTATATTACAATATAAAATTATGGATTTTACTATCATAAATTATTTTTGGAGTAGAATTTGCTGAGGTACAACAATATCCCAAAGGCTGGAATAAAAGAGAATTTATGTTTGTAGTACTAGGATTCACAGATCTGGCTAACACCATGTTTTTCCTTTATTCCTTGTTTATCCAACTAGCATCAGCTTGAGTAGATTCAACAGTGGTGCTGAGTTTCTGTTTCAGAAGGTCTGTTTTCTTTCTAAGACACAGGGCAGGAAACCAGGAGATCTTGTGACAGTTTGTCAATCCACTCTCCCTAGAAAGACAAATGTTCTCTTTTGTCCCAACTGCACTCTGGAAATGAGTATATTATTCTATCCTATTATTGACATTATAGACTTAGGTACAGACTCCTTTGTCACCCATTTAAATTCTGCTCAGCACTGTCTAACTTTGAACATACATGGATGCCCCCACCACAGGCACTTCTCTGTGCAAATGACCATTTGTAATAATGTGGGATTCAAATGAACCTCAGAACAGCTGAAAATGTTGGGTGTCTTACGGTTTTGCACAAAACCAATCTAAAACCAAGTAATTTGCTTTATACATTCATCCAAATTTTGTGTCTCTGCATCCCACTCAAAAGTTCATGAACCATTTGGTGGCATTGTCCCTTTGACTTGCTGCTTGTCCTCAAACATATACCCAAATGTAATTTCATCATTGTTTGGTGGTGACAATGCTATGTGAAACACAAGGCACCTCCTGATACCGGTTTTCAGTAACAGGGCCCTGCTGGGCACAGGAATCTGTTGCAGAGGAAGTTTGTTTTGATCCCAAAGGGGCAGCTGGCCAAGGATCATGGCAGTGAGAAGAAAAGAATGTATGAAATAACTGAACGGAACTGGGATAATTTTGTTTGTTATGAGGACCAATGTCTTTGGGACAAACAGCAATGAAATGCTAGAAAGATACTGCCTCTCTGTAGGAACACTACTCAACATCTTCAATAGTAGGAGATGATTGACTGGTTTTAACTCAGCGTAAATGGTGCATTTACAAGCTAGGCACATTAAGAGATGGTGCTAAATGAGGTAGCAGAGATTGGAAACTGACTCTTCAGAACCAGCTGTTTGAATAATTAAAACCAATCTCTTTCTTATGGCTTAGTTTTTCGGGTGCTTATTAATTCACATAATTTGCTGTAATTCCCTGAGACTGTCAATAGCATTATGATAATGGACCTGATATTTCTTATTGGAAAGCAAGCAATGTGTAAACCTCTTTTTTTCACAGATCATAATAGAGAGCTAAGTAATACTTATTTCTCAGTTAAATGTTTTCTTGACCTTGAATATCAAGATATGATCATAGGCTTTGTATTCTAATTCAGATTTTCAGACTGCTTTCCATATAAACCCATTCATTTGTCACTTCTCTCTGCCAGTCTAACCAGCCTCTTTGCTTTTGTGTTGATCTGTTGAGTGCTTTCTTGTCATTCAGATTATGAGCTGTCAAGGCATGGACGGTTGTTTTTCTCAATAGGTGCACAGAATTTAGATGAAACTGTGCTGACTATAGATTCTTTGTGCTATGACACTACCATTAATTCTACTGGGAACAGTAAAACCAGATTTAAAAAATGAAGTGACATCTATTTCCTGTGAATAACCTTTTAAAAAGAGACTGAAACATAAACAATTGAAATCTGTATTTAAAAAAGAAAAAGAAAAGAATGGCAATGAAAGGTATTAAAAGTTTATATGTATTTTTAAGTCGAGCATGGCAAACAGTTACGCATATTAAGGTCTGTGTATGTCTCTGGCAGAAAAAGCAAAAGGGATAGAAATACTCCTGTTGTCCAAAGCACATGATTTCTCACAAGTATCTGTCTAATACCAATTGTATATCAGAAGGAAGCTTAATGTGTCTTTCTGAAATGCCACATGCTTAACAAGACAATTCAAAGCCTGTTAAAAGTTGCTGAATTTTAGTAGTTTGAGAAAGGAACATGAATTTTGCTCCACAAACAGCAGCATATTGCTGGCTACATCAGTGCAGCTGGGAGCTGAGGGCCTTGAACAAAAGGGGCTGCTTAATTTTCAGGGTGTCACCTTGAGTCTTGGAGCAAGGCAGGACAGCTTTGGGCTGACTTCCCATATCCAAAGTGCTGGGGTCCCCAGGGCCACCAACTGCCGCAACTTTCTGCTTGCACACGGGAAGATCCCCTACACAAAGGCAAGTCCGCAGGGAGCCAGACCCAGCTGCTCTGAATGGCAGGCAACACAAAGATGACTGTGAACTACTGAAGATTAGTAGTACTCCATTGAATTTAAATGGTGCTTGAGAGTTGTGGAGAACTCCCACTGCCAGTTCTCATATTTTTTAGTGCTGTAACAGGATCCTAGAGGAGATCCTCCAGTGTATCAACTTCCACAGATGCTGGAGCAATGAGCTCTTGATATTCAGACTGTGCAGGACGCAGCTATTGATCCCCATTTGTTACACAGAAAGGAAACCTGAGGAAATCTGAGTCAGTTAGATGTGAAGATGTATGAAATCTAATGAATCAAGCGCAGCTCATTCCCACTGATAGTAGTAATTTCAATTATTATTTCAGCAGGTTATTCCTAGTCTCCTGGTTTCCAGGGGTGTTTTTCATGGTGCAGAGGCTTGTGTTTTGAAACAAGCTTCCCAGATGCCCTTTCATGAGCTGGGTACCCAGGAATGCTTTTCCCTTGCACTGCAGCATCAGTGCCTGGCAAACCTGCAACCCAAAACATACTGAAATGCCTGTCCTTTAGCCCAGCTGTCTTTGATGTCTAGTGTCAGTGTTGTTCATTATTGATATAGGGCAGTAAGTGTGCACCACTGAAATACAGGAAAGCCCATGTTTGTGCTGGGAAAAGCTTCCACAGAGTGCAGAGAGTGAGGAAAACACAGTTTTGAGTGCTACCCCGAGGCCAATGAGTGGTCTGGACTTTCAAGGATGCTGTTTGGATCTATCACCCCTACACAGAGGTTTCCGCTGCTCTTTCCTTTAATGGATGCTAACATTCTGGAGGCTGCAAAAGATTTCCCAAAGGCACTGGGCCTCAGGTGCACTTAGAGCCATGACTGACTTGTGCCTAGCTGCAGCAAGTGCTCTTCCCAAGCAGGGTAACAACTATGTTTATATCATGTTTTCCACAGAAGCTGTCTTGTAGAAATGCCCCTTCTATGTCATAGTCACAAAGGACACCTGCAGCTGTGATTTGGAGAAGTGTTGTTGAAGAGAGCTTGATCTTAACAGCCCTGTTACACATTACAGCAGCAGCAAGTTGAACTCACTAGCACATGCCCATGTTCAGACAGGCACTTAAACCAGAATTTATCTGATTCAAGTTAAACTCTATTGATATAATAGAGTTTAAGTACTTCCCAGGATAGGAATCCTTAGGTCAGGACTCCTATAAACAGCTTAACCTCCTGTCCCAATGCCCGTATCTATTCCTCTGACACAAATTAAAATTCAGCACCTTTGTTTAAGTGTATGTAAAACTTCTGTTCCGTTCAGAGACGTAAATGGATTGACCACATGGGGATTTTTGCCCATAAGGGGCCTTTCCATCTGTTTGGTTTGGTGAGATGGCAGTAGGTAAGATGGTCTCTGAGACTGTACCTGAGAACAGCATTGCTTCTGAAAAGCAGACAGTAATTGTATTCCTTTTCTTGCTGTTTTTTGGTTTTTTTGTTTTTTCTTTCCATAGGGTATTTGGAGCAGCTATCTTCCTAACATCTACACTGAACATGTTCATCCCCTCTGCAGCAAGAGTGCATTATGGGTGTGTGATGTTTGTAAGGATTCTGCAAGGTCTGGTGGAGGTAGGAGCACTCACCTTTTTGATTTTGTACATCATTTGGTTTTGGATGTTTGGTTCTAAAAAGTTGACCATTATATAGTTTTACTTGTTACTCATTATCAGATGACAATCTTTTAATTGTACCAATTTATAGTTTTAAGTTTACTTAAAAGGAAATAAATAGTTTAGGTTTCTGGTGCTGCAGTTCAAGCTATTTGAGTTTCCTTGTGCCATCCACTGCACATGCTAACCAGCATTTTTACCTCAGGACACATTACTATTTAAGTGATTCTTCAAATTAGTTTGCAATCTTCATACTCAAACAGCAAAACTCTCCCAGGCTTCTCTGACCCTTCCTACATCATTCCATGGTGACAAACATCTACACAGTTTGAACAGTATCAGCAACTGCTTGAAACAGGAATGCAGTGAAAACCAATCACATGATGTGTGAAATGTCTGCAGGGTGTCACCTACCCAGCCTGCCATGGGATGTGGAGTAAGTGGGCTCCTCCCCTGGAGAGAAGCAGATTGGCCACCACATCGTTCTGTGGTAAGTTGATAGGCTTATACCCTTTACGTAACTACATATTCCTATTAGACATGTTTTAATGATTTTAATGATTTTAAATGAAAATGTAAACCTTCTGCCCTTTGCTGTACTTGCGCACATACCTGTTTGGCTTGTACACTGAGCTCAGGGACCGAAGAGTCTTTTTGTTTAATGTGTCACCATTTTCTCATTTAAAGCCAACCCTCAGAATGGCTCTCATAGTAAACTAAAATGGGTCAAGAGAAATCATACAAGAGAAGTCACACTTCTTTTTTTCCATTAATTTTCTATAACCCTAGGGATTCCATTAATTATACATACTAAATTGACCCTCCTAAGCAAGTATGCACTTTTAAAAGTATCTTAAAAGGACTTGAGTACTTCAGGCTGGCTGCTCAATATACTGCAGTGGAGGTGATGTAACTTCCTGCTGCTGGCTGTTCTGCTTCACTCTGTTTTGTGTTATGATCAGCCTTGTACTTTGCTCTCTTATCTGGGTGCCTTTCCAATGATGACTGCTGGCCTTCTGGAAGATGGCTTGTGGGAAATTTCAGAAGAGTTTGGGGATTGTAATCAAGTGTAAAGTTGGGAGAAAGCAAACTCTCATTCCATTTAGAATGCTTCTAGCCTCTGGCAAGAGCCTTAAACCTTGTTATGATGCAGGGAGCAGGAAGAATACTGAGATTTTACACCTTGTTCTTCAAGAAAGATACTTTTTTGCTCACAGCAACACTAACAAAAAACCCAAAACAAAACAAAACAAAAGGCTTTTGTACTTTCAATTCCATCCTCCAGGTAGCAGGTTTTGCCACAGGTCACTCTGTCCCACCCTTTCTTACCAGAAAATACGACTGTGAGTATCATACCTGTGAGTATCATTTCCCAGGTCTAGTCCAGGAGCTGTCCCCTCCTCCTCTCCTACCTAATGTCTTAATCTTCTCTTGATAACCCTGCAATTGTCAATTAGGTATTAATTCCAGGGTAAATGGTGAATGACAATATCTCCCTACCAGCTCCAGGCTGCGTTTGAGTGGATGGTTAAATGTAAGTCATAATACAAATGTACTCTTTCTGCCTTTTTTACCCCTAAAAGTCCAGATATGCAGAGTACAGGGCAGAAATGGTGTAGTTTCAAATGCACTGTGTTGGGAATGAAGGGAAAGGCCTTACTTGTTACTTCATTCTGTCATTTCCCTCTAAGATGCCCTCGTCATCTATATTTGGTGTGTCCCTTCCAATTTGTAAGAGGGAAATTGGGACAAGGAGTGGATGTCTAGTAATACTCCAGAAAAATCAGAAATAGTAAGACTTTGAAGAGTAGTCGGTTGGGAAACATGGAAGAGAAAACAACGAAAATAAACACAGCTGGTAGGGTAAAGCCAGCTGAAGGTGAATGTCTGTAAGAGAAGATACTCTGTATTTGTATTTTATATTTGTACAGAATGTCTGTAATAGAAAATACAGAAGTCAGATTTAAAAGCAGTCTGTCCATCAGCAGTGAAAGGCTAAAGAAAATAAGGCAATAAAACACAGGAGAAAAAATACAAGAGGAAAAAAGCAGCTTTTCATATTATGGGAATTTTATTTTTACTTCATATTACTTGAGGATTTAGAGATTATTTAAATGTTTGCATTTTCTGCAGAAGAACAGACCAAAAGGGAAGCCTCTCCACCCTCAATGCTCTCTGCTTGAAATCCTAGCACTGCATAGAGAAACATCTAGCCTGCAGCCCAGCACCCATTTTAGTGGCTACAAATCACCCATTTTTGCACTTGAAAGGTGCACAGGAGCACCGGAAAAATTAAGAAACCACATGTTATCCAGATTCCTGGTTTCTCTGTCTATATTCTTGCCTGAGGCTTTGCTACTGCTGTAGGAAGAATAAATTGCACAGAGATGAGGAAGAAGGGTCACTGTGAACCTGTACATAGAAGTATTGCTAACAAGTAGATCATTAACAACTGTTCATTAATGAGGTAGTAATACTCTCAAAAACACTAGCACCTCATTTCCTAGAATAAATCAAAGCAACACTTCTCACATGTGAATCCAGTGGCACCATCTTGCACTGAAACCAAATGTTCAGATTGCATTAAGTCTCCCTAGGGTCTTCATGAAGATTCCTTTCTGAGCACTTAAATTTCATTAATCTCTTTCTTCAAGTCACTTGGAAATATATTTAATCAGTATTATATATTTCCCAATCAGAAACCTTGGCACAGACCACTTTTTTATTCTTTTTTTTCCCTGTCAGCTTCTGCCTGTGTATTCCAGCTGTTTGCTCATGTTGCTGATATGAACCAACCATGGTTAAAGAGGCTCAGTGTTGGTCTGAACACCCCCTCCACTAGCAGTGGGTCATGGGGCTTGGCCCATGACAAGAGCCTCCCAACTGCATTCATATCTGCAGATATCTGCAGTCCTCAGGACTTCTGGACATCAAGAAGGCTTCTGAAACTTGGGCCATTAGCTTCTCCAGAGCTTACCTCATACACCATGGGGTTAGGTGGAATTCCCCACTTAAGTGCACACATACGGGTCATGTCTGCCTGGTGGTTTGCTATCAGTCTTGGATTTGCAAATCCCATTTACCTACAGGGCATTCCAACAGCAAAATAAAACTGGTGATCCCATGCAAGTGAGCACCAGTCCTTCCCACCACCCCAAGGTAAATGCTACAGTTGTCATCCAAGTCCCCATGTTCACAAGAAATCACGGCGCCAATTAACCAGACGTGTCCTTTCAATTCTGCCCAGATGAGCAACTACCTGGATCATCTGCACTGAAGGCTGGGTGTGCCTATCATAGCTGGCAAGTTTTATTAATCCCTTTTCTCCTCCAGGGTCTTATGCAGGTGCAGTGGTTGCCATGCCGCTGGCAGGTGTGCTGGTCCAGTACATCGGGTGGTCATCAGTCTTCTATATTTATGGTGAGTTGCTTAACACAAAGGATCTCTGAGACTAGCCTGCCAGCTACTGCCAGGTACTGCCAGCAGTTTTGTTAAACCTGTTTAACGAGTATGGATTAAAGTAATTTTGGGGAATGAAGGGGTTGCAAATGGGTGTTCCAATTTATTCTCTAATTATTGTAGCTTCTGAAAACTTTAATTTTGTAATCATGTGATGTAAAATGTTTTAAAATCGTCACGACTGGTTTGCAGCTTCAGTGACAGGGTTAGATGCAGTTGCAAAGGTTGCTCTGTAGCACAAACACTCATGTGGTATCTGTCCTGGAGCACACACCAACAGTGAATGCTACAGCATATGGTGCTAATGGGGAGCCAAATGCCTCTGAAACCTTCTGCCCTGAGACATCTGCTCCATGCTGCCCACCCTCCATAAAGCATTGGCACCTTTAGAAAGTGGTCCCATCACATGGGTACAGCCTCATGGTTAATGGTCATGCCTCATGCTTCCCCTGCAGTAGGTGGCAGAGCTGGCTTAAACCCAGCCTTGCACATCAGGAACCCAGTTAATACAGGTTCTATCTGGAGACACAGCACACACCAGAAGATCTGCCATTGCAATCTGATCATGAAGTTCTTTTATGTAGATTGTGATCATGTTATGACCAGTCTGCTTTTTTCCTTTCCCAGGTCCCATATAAAGCTTTACTTCTGTCTTTTTTTCTGCCCTACGTGTATCACATAATATAAGTGACAAAATGCTTAAATGCTTTGCAAGCAGGCACACAATATACACAGAGTTAGTTATCATACTCATATTTGCTACACAGATTTGCTTTAATTTGCTCTTGAAATAACCTTCAAAGCCTGCAGATACTGCAGTGTAGCTTTATTAGTTTTTCAAACTTAGCTTTGCTTTTTCTGCCTCTCCAGGAATGTTTGGGATTGTTTGGTACATGTTCTGGCTCCTTCACGCCTATGAGAGCCCTGCTGCACATCCAACAATAACCGACGAAGAGAAGATATACATAGAAACAAGTATTGGAGAAGGAGCCAGCCTAGCTAGTGCAAGTGTAAGTAGAAAGGGCTTTTCTGGTTATAATTTGTGAGCAAGTTGAATGAGATAAGCATGAGACCAGATGGATACTATTAGCTGTGTAAGAGCAGCAGAAATATTTGCTGTTGATATTTAGGGGCTTTTCCTTTTATGAAAATTACAGGATTCAGGCTCATGCAGGTGGACAGGAGGAGTTGAGTTTAAGTCAAAACACATAGTGCTGTTTTAACTCTTGGCTCATAAACCCTGCCCAACCTAGGGAGATAAAGGACTGGGGAGAGAGGGGAAACAACACTCTCTGATCTCCTGCTCTTGAGTAACTATCATATTCTAAAAAATGTATTAATCAAAATGGCTAAATAAGAAATTGGCTGCAGATGTTAATTATCCAGTTCCCTTTTGAGCTCTTATTGACAATGACTGAAATTCTGAAAACTCAAGAACAGGGTTTCTGCCCTGCTCATTCTCATAGAAGCTCAGCTCCTTGTTTAACTTCTATTCTCTCTCTGAGAGGATCCTGGCAGATCCTGAGAACTTAAAGCTTAAACCTATATTCCCATCAAACATCTCCATTCCCTTAGGTATTTTTGCTAGTGCTGAAAACCAAAGCTGTTTCTTGATAAACTGTACCATGTTGGCTTTTACTCTTGAATATTCTGGAACCAAATAACTCCAGACTCTTTTCTCTACATGTTCTTGGTAGCCTTGCTGACAGTATAAAGTACCAGACTCTTCTTTTTGGCATGCTCCTGAATTTTGCTTGAAGTCACTTGGGTCTTGGCTGGAGACACACATACTTGTTCCAGGTCGTGGTATACCCTTCCTGTACAGTGATTCTACTGCAGAGGAAACTAGTTCCACCATCATGTGTTCACACACAACTGCAGGTATATGATTGCCTGTAGAATATAACTAATGCTTGGAAAAAAAAAAAAAAAAAGACTGTCAAGGGATATTGCCATAGTTACATATTTCAGCTCCTGATTTGAATTCTATTATAATTGAATAGGGCTCTGAATTGTTTTTTGTTCCAGCTGAATGGGGCATTGCAGCATAAATAGAAATGGGAAATGCCAAAAGCGAGTTACAGAAATCAAATCCTGTACCATGGACCTTTTTTTGCTGAATGAAATTAATTAGGTTGAAGTAGGCATCTGCCTGTTGCTCTGCTGCTGCATATTTCTTAGCTGGGATAATCCTTTTTTTCATAATTCTTTCAGTGGAAGGTCTCAAACTGGGTCATGCCAAAATCTGGGGAATGGCACAGGGTTTTCTCTAGTTTTCTTTGATTCTGCTATTGATTCTTTTATCCCAATGGCAGGATTCCAGTGCAATTTTAGTAAGTAGAGTAATACATAGGAGTCATCTGAAATACCCTAACTGTTCCAAGAAAGTTTCTCTACCAGTTGTTTGCCACTTACCCAGGAAACATCTTTCACTTGCAGTTTAAGTGATTTGCAGTGTAAATTGGATGCAACTAATTGGATAGTCCTGGTACCAAAGGATACTTGTCTCTTTATTTTGCCTTCTACTTACTCAAAAATCCCTTCAATATTTTTTTTCTTCCTAGAAATTCAGTACCCCCTGGAAGAGATTTTTCACTTCAATGCCAGTTTATGCAATCATTGTGGCAAACTTCTGCAGAAGCTGGACCTTCTATTTGCTCCTTATAAGTCAGCCTGCTTACTTTGAAGAAGTCTTTGGATTTGCAATAAGCAAGGTAAATATCTGTTCCACACAAGGATCCAGGATATAAAGTGTTTAATGGGAAAAAAAAAAAAAGGGGGTGAAGAAGGGTTCTTTCCCCCCTAAATCCTGAGAGAGGACACAGGCAGTAAGCACTCATTTTTCTAATTGCAGGTTGGCCTTTTGTCAGCAGTTCCTCACATGGTCATGACAATCATTGTACCCATTGGAGGGCAGCTAGCTGATTTCTTAAGGAGCAGGAAGATTTTAACCACAACCACTGTAAGGAAGGTCATGAATTGTGGAGGTACTATTCGATTCTGAAAATATGATACTTAAATTGTGTGCTGAAGTTGATGCAACTACCATAGTTTCATCCATGTTTAATTTTAACAGGAGACAAATTACTCTAAATTGCATTTATAGCTGGTTAATCTGAAGCATTTAGTGGAGAGCTGATGTTTGATGTCCTCATGTTATAAATCCTAACTCGTGTGAACATGCTTTTTAAAAGGGAGGAGGGAAGAAGCCTGGTTAATAATTAAAAGGATAATAGGGGCTGGCCCAGAAGAGTAGCACAATCAAGTAGGCCTCATTCTGCAAACTTGTACAGACAAGCTAACCATGTGGTGTCTGAGAACTCCCTTCCCAGTAGATACAGTCTTGAAATAACTGGCCATGTTCCCATCTACTACTTCCAGCTGAATCCACTCGCAAGTTTAGACCAGTGGAAGGGTTGTGTAAAAAAAATGAAAGCATAAGGTATGGACAAACTCATTTTTACTCATCACAGAATAATTTGTGCCAGTTCAGTGGCTGAACTGAAAAATCAGTGACACCTAATGTAAGAATGATTATAAATTATAGAAAAATTTCAAGCCAGATAGCCTGTGGAGTCATTCTCCACTGCAAATTCCTGGCTATTAGCCATTATTTATGGATAGCATAGACTGCGTGAAATAGAGATGCCTGCAGTCAGAGATGACATGCAGCTTGACTATGCATCTTCACAAAGGATTCTCAGATTCATTCTATCTTCAGTGTTTTTTTCAGTGTCATTAAAAAAATAAACTAAACAGAAGGACTGTAGTCTTACATATTAGGAAATGTTAATTTGCAGTAGTGGCAAACACTGAAAGTTTCCTGCAGTGCTCAGGGATATCCTATTGTGTTGATGGCACATGTGCATGTAAAATGCTTTTTTGTTCCATTTACCAAGAATACCTCACATCACTACAACCATGAGAAATTGAAGGCAATAAGTATTTTCCTCCTTTCCCTATCATGTTTTTGTGCTTGTGAATTTTGCAGCACTTTGCATGGAGTCATTCTCTCATTGTTTCCCTGTACTGCTCAGTGACTTAACTTCTCCAACTTCCTGGGTCATTTAGAGAGCATCAGGGAGAATAAAGTATATTCCCAAATCATAAATATTAAAATATTACCATGAATTCACAAAACTTCCAAGTACGTTCAAGAATAGTTATAAGATACCAAAGAATTTTGTCTAATTTTAAGTTGCTATTCTGGCTAGACCTTTTCACTATCTCCATGACCAATAGTAGTGTAAATGTAATTTATTCCCATGTGTTTCATTTGAAGGCTTTGGGATGGAAGCAACCTTGCTTTTGGTTGTTGGTTATTCTCATACAAAAGGTGTGGCTATTTCCTTTCTGGTGTTAGCAGTAGGCTTCAGTGGCTTTGCCATTTCAGGTAAGAATCTTATTACTGGTTTTACTTTTTATGATAAAAGTAATGTTGTTATCCCTACTGTTCTTCCTGTCATAATTTCTATAATTCGGCTTGCTCTTAATGTGGCTGCTTAAGGAATATTCCTTATTTCTTCCCATTTAAAAAATCATTTAACCTCAGTATTTATGAGAAGTGTTGCACACATGACATGAAGCTTTGAAAGAATCTTCCCTTTATTGATTCCAATTTACATCAGCTTTGGGCTGTTATTTTCTAACATACTTTTACAGTGTCAGCCACCTACTCTTCTTGTATAAAAAGTATCTCTCAAAGGAGAGTGATGGAACCACTCTGGATTAATAGTTGCTCAAAGGCTATCAGTTGTAACTCCGCTCCCAGTCCTAGCTACCGGTTTCTGCTTTCTGGGTCAGTCCTCTCTCTGTTGTGTCCTATAACCAGCACTCCTCCAGAAGAGCTGTTTCTCACCCTTTCATGGGTCTTGCCAGTCTCAGAATTATGTTTGTAGCTCTACCAGTACCATGGTTCTTAAAAAACCCCCTTTTGTTATGGAGATAAAAGGCTATCAGCTAGCAGGCTGCCAAGAAGATGAATCTATTGAGCAAAATTGATGAACAAAGTAACTGCTGGTCTCCAGTTGTTTCAGGATTATGCAGATGAGAAGTAGTTTTGCTACTCAGTTACGAGGGGCTTGCATAGCAGGCTATTTCTAACAATCAATTTTTATTGCATGATTTTCCCAGTACTCAACTTTTTACTGTACATAATGCCATGGAATCACAGAATTGTCAGATTTGGAAGGGACCTCTAGAGATCATCTAGTCCAACTCCCCAGCTAAAGCAGGATTCCCTAGAGAACGTTACTCAGGGCTGCATCCAGGCGTGTCTTGAATATCTCCACAGAAGGGGACTCCACAAACTCCCTGGGCAGCCTGTTCCAGTGCTCTGTCACCCTCATAGTAAAGAAGATTTTTCCTCATATTTAAATGGAACTTCTTATGTTCCAGCTTGTTCCTGTTGCTCCTCAGCCTGTAACTGGGAACTACTGAAAAAAGTCTGGCTCCATCCTCCTTGTACCCACCCTTTAGATACTTACAGGCATTAATAAGATCTCTCCTCAGCCTTCTCTTCTCCAGGCTAAAGAGTCCCAGCTCTCTCAGCCTCGTAAGAGAGATGCTCCAGTCCCTCAATCATCTTTGTTGCCCTAATGATGGACTTGGAATTCATCACCCTTTTTTGTTACTACCCATAGTCCATATGACTAATTGTCAGTAACTAAAGCAAGATAATTACCTGAGCTGAGTTTTACTATTTTTAAAAAATTATTTCTTAATAATATATGTACCCAGAAGATACGCTATAGTAAGGGTAATTGTTTTTCCTGCTGGTTTATATTCCATTTCTATCATGTTGTTAAACTACCACTTAAAGTACCGGAAAACATGTATTAAAAACCATTCCTACCTAAATAAATAGATATCAGACATTTGACTAACATGAGGCATTCATTCTTTAATTAAAAATATTTGCTGAGTGCAGTGTTTCAGTATAAAAAGATGGGAAGCCCAGATACTTTAAAAGAGGCCAAACCCAACTTTATTTGTCTACAACATGATCCCAAAAGCTGAGAAAATAAAAGGTGTTTCAAAAAATAATAGAGAATTGCAACCTATCTTCCATCTTTATCACCAAGAAAATGCCACTCTTCCTTCTGTTATATGTAATAGAAGGTTTCCTACCTTTTCCAGGCTTCTTCAGACAAAAGGGCTGTTTGAAAGCCCTGTTGGTCTGGTAGTGCAAAGACTTATAGCTGACCATTGTCTCTCATTTGTTGTAGGATTCAACGTGAACCACTTGGACATAGCCCCGCGTTACGCCAGCATTCTGATGGGGATCTCCAACGGCGTGGGGACACTGTCAGGCATGGTGTGCCCGCTCATCGTTGGTGCAATGACAAAACATAAGGTAACATTCCTCTGTGTTTTCTAGGAAAAGAATTAGGTAATGCAACAGAAGTTAAGATATTTTGGAGCTTCCTGGGAACTCCATTTCATCATCGATCTCTGCAGCTGTTTTCTGTTCTTGTCTCTATAACATTCACTTGTACAACATCACAGGGGACAGATTCTAATTTATTATAAACTAAATATAGGGAGATATTTTATACCACCTGTGGTTGAGACTCTGCAATATCTCCATACTACTGGGTAATGCTTACAGTACTTGGGAAGCTCCTCTACAACACATCCCTGGTAGGGTTTCTAAGAAATCAGTAATCTACAATAAGATTAACTTAGTTGCTAGAGAAATCCCTGAATTTCCAACTCCATGAATATTCTCTCACATGCAAGAGAGAAACTTCACTGTGAGGAAAAAAAAATCTCTTGTTTTATTTTGTTAGTCATTGTAATGGAAAAAAAAAAAATCTTCACAATGTCTCATAAATTGTTCTCCCTGTAACGTTGGGAATCAATGATCATGGTCATTGTGCAGTATGTGCTAACTCATGGTGTAATTCAGAGAGTAATCTTGCTTTTTACTGCAAACTTAATGAGACTGGCACCATTCTTTCAGACCCGTGAAGAATGGCAAAATGTTTTTCTGATCGCAGCCCTGGTACATTACAGTGG